TATTTTATTTTACTCTTGAAACTATGACATTTATATATATATATATTAAATTAAAGCTAATGTAATATACTTTATCATGGAAAAAAAATTCCCACTTTATTTTGTCTTCACGGTGAAAATGGCTACCAAATGATATTTTTGTGTGAAAATTCTCAATTTTATATTTTACATTTTTAACTTCATAATGCTATAACTTACTAAAAAGTGTATGGATTAATACAATATTTTTATGAAAATAATATTTATATCCCTCTTTCTTTCGACATACATTTTTTTTAAAATAACACTATTTCCCTTTATATATTTATATATTATAAATATATATATTTATTCATATGTTATACTTATAAATCATAAAACTTGTAATCAGGATATTAATAAGGAAATAGGATATCATGTAGCTTTGAGAATAATCCACCAATTTTTTAAAATTAAACATTATCTATAGATTTGCATCGAAGCGTTTTTTTTATGATGTTGATTTTAATCACTGTCAGATATCATTATACTTTTTAACATATATTTGTAGTTCGGAGTATTTCTAGAACAATGTCATAACTTAAATTGAAAAAGTAAAACTTGCAAAATTGCTATTTTAAATTCACTACTTAAGTAGGTAAAGGGTCAAATTTTCAGATAATTTATAGCAAATGAAAGGAAAATACCTTATGTATCTATATTAAAAAATTATATTGATTTAGTCATTTTTAAAACAGTTATGGCAGTTTTAAGAAAAAAAAGTTTAAAAAATGTCAAAATTTACTGATTTTAAAAACCGTACTTTTTTGGGATATTTTCTTCATTTATAATGAAAGAGGGAATTTTTTCAATGTGTAAGGGCAATGTCTTTAAATATAAGATTTGTAATTTTTTGACGTATCATTGAAAGAAATTAGTCTGGTATAAACAGAAAAAAGTGGCAACAAACATAAAAAAAAACATCATAGTAAAATTGATACCTCCTCAGCTTCGTATATAAGCTATAAAATGTTTAGTCTTCACCCTATTCATTACTTACTAAACAAAAATTAAATTGTTTGTTTATCTAGGTTGGAAATGTTTTGGAAATTTTACCATCCAACTATACTTCCAATGATGATATTGCTATGCATCAAGATACTGCAGAATCAAATAAAATATTTGCTAATGAACCTCCGGTAAATAATTAAGTTAATAATTTTAGTGTTATTTATTAAAAGAACACTAAATAATTAGTTTAATATACAATGCAATACTGATTGTAATTAAATTTAAACCTAATGAAAAAAAGTTTTTGTATTCAGTACAATAATTAATATAATAAAAGCCATTATATATAGTATCATGCATAATTATTTTAAATATAAAGTCTGTAAAAATTAACTATAAGTTATCATTATCCAATAGATAAGTTGTTTGATATTCATAGTTTTTTTTTTTTTTGAGTAATTGAAGTTTTCTTAAAGAATTTGGATTTGTTTCCCCTGGTGAAGTTTTTGGCTCTTTAAAGTTTTACTATGTATCAAATAATTTTCTTTTGTCATAAAAAATTAATTAATCTTGGTAGATGATAATTCAGATTTTAAGCAGACAATTACAATTTTATGTTAACATAATATTATTTTACTTATAGGGCAAAATTTGTGAAAGTGAAATTACTATAAAATCTTCTGATGATCAATTTTCCAAGTTGTATTTGCAACATGTTAAACAATATAGTCATAAGCCAATTCAATTTTCTACTACTAAACAGGCTTTTAATAATTTAATTGAAATATTACCTGAAGCTGAACTACCACATAGAAGTAAAATTGATCAAGACCTTCAAACTCCTATACCTTTACGACCCCGGGCTTATTCTGCCATTGCTGAAGATAATTCAAATGTCCTTTATATTACCAGTGATAACTATATTGCATACTGTGCTATTGAAGATAAATGTATGGTGCATATTGCTGTGGATACTTCTAAACATAAAAGTGTTGAAGTTAGTGTGAGACATTGTTTTAATATCAATGAAAATGGAACTATAGATGAATACTGGCTACATGCAGATTTAATTCCTTTCCATACATCATCAGATTGTGAATCTGGTGTTTATAGTGATGATGATGATAAGTCTTTAGATTCTGAGACAGGACAAAGTGATATTGTAGAAAATGATTTGGATGGTGTTGAATGGGAAATTGTAGATGGAGATAGTGACTCCAGTGAAGATTGGTTGAATAATCCTGGTTTATTGGATCAATATGGAGAGATTGTTGAAGTTGAACAAAATGTCAATAAATTTGATAGCACATCAAGTTCTGAATATGATTCTGATAGTAGTGATTCATCAGAAAAATGTTATATGTACAATAAAAGTATTATACATGAATTTAATGAAAATAACACTGAAAACAATGCTAAATTTTCTGCTACAGAAGTTTCAAAGTTTGTTCAAAATCAAAGTTGCTCAAACACTTCACAAAGTAAAAGTAATCCACTGTCAAATAATGTTTCAGGTTATTATATATTTTTGTTATAGAACTATTGAAATACTGTATAATTTATGAAAATTTTTCTATTTACTATTATTTTATAATATCACTTATCACTATTTATTTTCATATTGATAAATTAAATTTATAATTTAGGTGAGGAAAATGGACAAATACTTATTCAAGATCTAGAAAAAATGAACACCATTTTAAATCAGAATGTAAGAAAAATTATTATCTTTATTATTTGTAAGATTTTGTTAATTTTAAAAATTTTTAATTCAGTTTTTTCTTGTTTTAATATTTAGTTAATAATACAAAAGATACGCATGCAATCAAAGTCAAGAGTTAATAAGAAACAACCTGATACACTACTAGTTAGTTACAGCGATAATATGGAAACAATGAAACATCCATTCTTGGGCTTATTTCAACCACCTACAACTAGTATTCTTAGGTATAAATAATAATTTTTTTCGTTGTATAAAATATATTTTATGAAGTATGGTTTGCCTAAAGTGATAATATATTAACATTTCATTAATAGGGTTAAATTATAAAGTAGTCAAATGATTAAGACATTTTATAAAAAATTTATTTGCTTTTACAAGTTTAAAATAATTGTGTTTTAGGAGCATTTGAGCAATTTTCTACTGTAATAGGACCAAAAAAATATAAGTTTTTAATTTTTTACCAAAATACGAACTCTAAATATAGGACGGATTTTTGTTAATTTTAATTCTGTTGATATTTGAGTTATATTTTTTTTAATAATGGTGACTAATAATACAGTTTATTTATGATTTTTGAGTAAGTTATCAGTGAATTGAAAACTAATAAACCAGTTATTTATTAAAAATACCTGTTTTATTTATTGGTTGAAACAAATGTTTAACAATACTATTTTGACTATTATCTATACTAGTAATGACCATTTGGTTGTTTACTAGTGTATATTTTTAAATTTCTATAATACGTAATGTGTATATTTCAATTTAAAAAATTTAATTGTTACTCTTATAAGAGGCAAGGGATGAAATACTTGAATAAGCCAAAAATGTTATAATATATCCATTGCATCTCAGTCACTTTACATTTATCTAATGCTGCACAAAGTCACGGAGTTATAAAATTACTTCTTAATTTTTTACATTCTGAAGGATCTGCTATATTTTGTGTCATATTGTAAAATTACCAACTTAAGTTGTCTTTGATTGACGGTAATTTACTCCCAGATATTTGATAATTAATAAAAGAAAAATTCTCTGAACTTCTATATTTTTTAAAATCAATATTTGTGTTATAACATGTTTTGTTTCTATTTTTTATTTATAGAAATGAATTAAAAGAAAATAGTCTTTCTAAGCGTGTGTCATTTGCTGATGGTATTAACCCTGGAGAAGATTTAGTGGAGTCACTGACAAATGATGAATATTATCGTTCTATGTCACCACCTCCTTTAAAAGCATTATTACGTGAATCTCTAAAGATTAAGCGTCAACATTTTCCTTTTAGAAGATCTAAAAAAATTCGAGCTAAAATGACTATGTTAAACAGTAAATCAGCTGTATTACCACCCTTGATTCAAACAAATTCATTATCCTCTGTTAATTATTATATTAGCTCTAGACCTTCCGAAGAAAAATGTGCTTTGGAAAAAATGGACTTTGCTGGATTAATTTCACCAAGTAGTGATAGTGACTTAAACAGTGACAATAAAGCAACACCTCCTAGACTTACAAGAGAACTTACACCAATTCCATCAGATGATGATGATTGTGCATGGAATAATGAGAGTTCCATAAAGGAGTCACAATAAAAATTATCTTAAGTTCTATAATATGTTTGCACCTTTTTTATAATGACAATGAATGTTTTTTTTATTAATGTATATATACATTTATGTTATAACTAATATTTATAGTTTCATATTTATATTATATAAATTTAAAAAATCATTTGTATTTAATTCTATTTATTTATGTTGCAATTCTTTATTTTTAAGGTGCATGTTATATTTACATTTCATTTTTCGCATTGAAATATATAACAATTACGACTACCAAGTTAATAATACTCTCTAAGTATAAATTATCATTATAGTAATGAAGTAAAATAAAATTTGATTTGTTTCTTAAAGTTTTTTCTATAACCAATAGTATAATTTTGTATTCAAATTTTGTTTTAATTTTTCAGAAAATAAAATATCAAATGTGTGTATATTATATTAGTACCGTATATTATATTTACATTTTTGGCATATAATATATAAATAGCATATATTTTTGTCGATTTATCAGATGAAAATTTTATTATTTCTTTGCGTAATATAAATTTCTATTAATAAAATATTACAATAAGTTATGTTAAAATTACTAGACTAGTAGATTATTGGAGATAAGTAATTTCTTATTTTTAAGGAATAGATGTCAAAATTGAAAAATAAATAATATTTTAAAATAAAATAGTACAGTTATTTAACTTTAATTACAAAGTATATCAATATCTTTTTTATATACAAGACAAACGAGGATGTAAATAGATTTACAGTAGATAAATTAATACATTGTAATAAATGAAAACATTAATGTAAAAGCATTAGATGTAAATCAATGAAAATAAATTTAGACTTAAATTGGATTGTGTTTATCAAAAATAAATGATTAATTTTAAAACAGTTGTGTTATTAAGATTTCAAGGGGGAGAGACAAAATACATTTTTTTCATGGAATCGTGCGCATTAAAATAAAAAATATGATCTATGATAATGTGACAAATAATTCATATATTTTTAATGTAGTGCAAAACTGTAAAATTTATTTTTAAAAAAGTAACAAAATATTCGCTGTTCAAACCTTATAAAAATGTCAATTCCTGGTGGAACATTTATGTATACAGAGTATTTTTTTTATCATTGATCACTTGATCGAAATATAAGATAATATTAACAATTTTTTATTGGTTTCTTTTAAATATTTATATTTTTATCATGTTGTATTTTTTATGTTGGTCCCTTATATCATAAGGGTATCGACTTTAATTTTTCAAATGAAAACATTCATAATTGACAAGGTTATTTAGTAGGTAAAGATCTAATTAAGAAAATGATTGGTTGTTAACAACTTTTGGACCAATATTTTAGAAGTTACTAACGTTTTTATACTTCGGATGGAGGAGATGTAAGGTCGAGAAATGTCTAGTGACACATATAGTAGCACCTTCTCTAAAATTGTTAATAATTTCTGAAATATTAGTCCAAAAATTATTATCGACTAATCATTTTTTTAATTAGATCTTTACCTATTAAATAATCTAGTCAATTACGAATGTTTTCATTTGAAAAATTAAAGTCGATACCCTTATGGATATAAAGGGCGAACATAAAAACACTTGATGATTGATAAATAGAGAGAAATACTGAAATAAGAGACACCAATTAAATACTTTTTGATACTATTTATTTTTCGACTAATTAAGTGGTTAATGATAAAAGAAACAGTTTGTATACATAGAAGTGTATCACCAGGTTTTGACATTTTTAATAAATATTAATACTATTAAAATTCGCTATTTTTATTATTTATTTTTAATAATAAAAAAAAATAATAAATATATTTATTATCAATTTAATATTTTTGAAATTTTAAAATAGCTGTTCTTTAGAGTTTTACTTACAAACATTTTTGATGGGCCAATAACAACTTTAGGATAAGTACTTCTTGAGTTACAAGAATTTGAATACATAAAGCGGGTATGGATAGAATATGTATTATAAATGTACAAGCTATACGTATCCTAAAATTGTTTTCCATCCATCAACTTATTTTGTAAGAAGAGCTCTAACAAAATGGCAATTTTGAAAATTAAAAGTTAANTTATTTTGTAAGAAGAGCTCTAACAAAATGGCAATTTTGAAAATTAAAAATTAATGTGTTTTTTTAATATTAAATATAAATAAAATGATTTTAACGTAGTCTAAGATTGTAAAACTTGTAAAAAAAAAAAAAAAATAATACAATGACATTTTAATTGTATCAAAAGCATAAGAGTAGTCAGATAGATATTTTCTACTCTGTATGAACTGTATGACTAAAGTAGACAATAGACGCCAATATTAGTTTAAATATTATATGACTCGTTTGGTCAAACGTAAAATTAAATTACCATGTGACTCCATCACGCATTATTTTTAAAAAGTCTTGTTTATGTCGAAATATATATTTTTTGTAGATTTTCTTATAATAGAATTAATTAACAATGTCAATCTGGAGTTTGTTAGACAATTAAAACAATGGTTTTGGGCAAATACGGTTTTCTCTTTTGTTTTTATAATGTATTTACAAGAAGAGAAGAAATGCTATTGAAACCCCCGGTAACACATCAACTGATCATCTTATATTTACGGATCTGACAGCCTCCAATGTTTTGGATAAGTTCATGGACACGGATCGGGGTGGGCTTTGTTGAGGTTTTTCGGCTATAGGAGACACAGACTTACAATACCGCAGAGTAGCCCTGTAGTTTTGACCGGCCGTAGAGTCAATTGCTGGCAATAATGGTTTAGTTACCACTGAAGTTCTGCTGCTCCCATTTACTGATGGTTTGCTAGACTGCTGTGGTGCGTTGAATGTAGTCGCCGTTAACAGCCGACTCCCTCCAACTACCACTACCGCTCTGGCTATGCTATGCGAATTTTGCGATTGGTTTCGTTGATGATGTTGAGGTCGACTGCTCGACACTCTAAAACTGCTGAAGTTTACTAACCGACCGGGGTGTGTTCGATGATATTGCGACTTCGTGCGCGTCAGGTTGTTCCCGCCATCTACACAAAATTAAAATTGTACCAGTCAGTGACAGAAGAGGAGTACTTCAAAGCGGTTAGACGAGTTACGTTGGTGACACCATTTATGCAATACATTAAATAGAATGTTATTGTGAGTTAGTAATTTTTAATACAAGCAATTTTTTATATAATTATTATCACAGTTAAACATCCTTTGCCGATAAGTGTTACTATTATTATTCATTATACAATTCAGAAAAAAATGACAAAAAATAAACATTTTTGTAGATCAAATAATAAATATTAAGTTATCTACTAAATATAATGTAATTTATTTAATATTTACTTTTATAGACGAATTGAAATGAGTAAATAACAATTCAATGTTTTTAAAAAAAATATATTATTTAGTTGACTTTAGCACTTAATGCTCTACTTGACCATAGATCATAATGGGATTGTTAGAATGAACCTTGACACGAGTATAAGGTCTTTGGAGTTATCAATGGGTGCTTCGGTAACGATAACGCTAATGCTAATTGTTCACTTAAAATATATATATATAT